TAAGAAATACAATCACAAATAAAATGAAAGGCAGCAGAAAGAAGAAAAAAATCTTATATATGCCCCTTTTTTTTACCAAAAAATTAATTCAAACAATAATAATCTTCAAATAACTAAAACAAAATAAATAACTCCTTCTCAAGCGTCAGTTCATACAAATACACATTAAGCCATTTCATTTTTTTTAACAAACCAACTTTGATCATTCTCTTAAACATAGACATTAATCTGGCATTTTTCACATCACTCTCCAGATTATTCCATAATCTAAATCCTTGGATTGAAGTAGACCGTTCCTTCAACTAGTTCAAAATTTAGGGTTCACAAATATCTCTATCCCCTCAAGATTATAACAACTCGCTCTTTTAACAAAATTTAATTAAATATTTAAAGGTAATGTGTTATTATGAGCCCTATACATAACTGATAAAATACTATAATCTACCAAATCGTGGAACTTCAGTAACTTCAGTTGATAAAATAATGTGCTTGATGGGTGACTGAAATGCTTCCTGGTAATAATTCTTACAGCTCTTTTCTGTAAAACAAAAATAGGATTTGTAATTGTTTTACATGCTTTCCCCCAAACATCAATACAATAAATTGTGGAACAATGATTGTGTTATACAACATATACAGAGCTTTATCATTTAATAACTCCCTTACTTTGTACAGTACTGCAATAAATTCAGCTATTTTTATTCTTACATAATGTATGTGACGTTTCCATGTCAGTTTTTCATCAATGATAACACCCAAGAACTTCACCTCACTAACTCTACAAATCTCAACACCCTCGACTCTAAATGGAACATCGACAGTTCTCTTTCTATTACTGAATATCATATAGTTAGTTTTATCTAAGTTTAATGATAATTTTTTAAGTTTAAACCAAGTTTGTATTTTTACCAATTCTGTCTGTATCAACTCCAACACACACACACACACACACACACACACACACACACATATGCATATACATATATATATATATATATATATGTATATATGTATATATATATATATATATATGTATATATGTATGTATTATTATTACTATTTTTTTATTTTAATTAATTTTTTTATTTGAACACTGAGCACCTATTTGGTTTCAAATAAGAAAAAAACACATCAGATATCATTTTAAGGTGTGACAACTTGCTCTTTAATTAAAAACACTGTCATTTGTACAAGAACTGTACACATAAAAAATACACGTGGACAACTACATACTTTATGAATAAATGAAAACAAAAAGAAGCTCACAAACAGATAGAAACATATACTACAACAAATAAAAAGTAAATGTGTTAACGTTGCTTTGGTCTAGTCACAGTGGCTACGTTGGAAATAGATATTTTGTCTAAATAAAAAGACTAGTCACTCTGTTATACTATTTAGTGTTTTACATATTTACATAGACAGTTATGATAATGACTGGAGCTGAGATACGATGAATGGATGAAAAGTTGAAAACATGAGTTTAGCATCGGCTGTGCTCATTTTTTAATACAGATGTGGCGACCAACAGTCTGATTAGAGAGAATATGTATTTGTACACACAGTGCAGGCTTTTAATACTCTTTGACCACCATTAGTGTGGTAATGTCATGCAACATATAGCCCAAATATATGCATTCATGGAATTAGACTGAATTTCAAAAGTGTTGCAAACATAACACTCAGATTTGCCTTCACTTTGCATAAAAAGCTTCTGAAAATGATACGTTTCATGCATTTTGTTCATTAAATGCTGCAACAAAACACAATGATGATGAAATGAACTGGTTTGATATTATGATCCCAAAAAAAGGAACTGAAAGATAAATCAAGATAAAAGACAAACGGGCTAAAAACAAAACAGAAATATTTTTTAAAACCCCCCTTCGGTTTTAGCTTTTAGTAAGTTTGTCCATGTAACACAGTATAAGATGTAAACAATAACTTGTCATGCATTATTACAGTATTAGGTGCACTCTTTCAAAGCTGATGCCTCGTACTCGATCCATCCACTGATATAATGTGCCACACTTACATCAGTATCACAACAAAGTATCTTCAGGTGCTACATCACATTTATATATAAAAATATACAACCTCTTCTCCTTTGTATAGGTTTTTATTTATCTCTTAATATAGACTCTTTGCAAAATAAAATCTTTCAGCAGCCCTCTACTGCTCAGTGTTGCACAGCCCAGAGCACACAGCTTCAGATGTTCCCACTAAAGGCTTCGAACGCACTCGCAGCTGAAGCTCCACCTGAGCCTGCCTGCTCTGCAATCTCCTTCAACAAAAACATGCACTCATGCCTCTCTCTTTCTCCACCTTTAGCAGGGAGTGAAGTCTTTACCGTAGGAAGACTTGGAAAGTGTTTGGCTTCGAGTTGCCCGTAATTACATAAAGGGCACGAATGAGAGTGACGGGAAGAAGAAACGAAAGCAGAAACTTTTAAACAAACGTGCCTCAAATCCATAATGTCACATCCAGACTGTAATACTGTAGGTCAAACTTCAACTATTTTTAGTTTCCTGGTACCAACTGCTGAGATGCTGTTATAAAAATAGCTGAGAAAGAAGGCAGAATGTGAGAGAATAACCAGAGACAAAGAACAAGGTGATAATCTGCTCTTCTGCATCACTTTGTGCAGATAAATAAGAGCTTGCTGTATTCTCTAACAAAGTGACAAACAGTGTGCCACAATGTGACTGTTTTTATTCTGGAAAACATAAAATGCAGAATATTCTATCAACGTTGCGCTTTGATTTGGGGGAAATGACAGAAAATGGTTCTGCATTTAGGGAAACCAAGAACTAAAATTAGAATTGTATGGACTGGACATCTTCAACCCGCATAAAAAAAAAGGGCAGATGGCATCATGTTGCTTAGGGTGAGCAAATACTTTCACGCCGGTGAAGACGGTTTATGCTTAAAATCTCTGAGATGATAGAAAACAGTCTATTTGCTATTAAAAATACAAATCGTATTTTGAAAAATGCATTAAATTAGCAGCCATGAACGTCAACACTGCAAAGGAAAAAGACAGGATGCTAATGTGGGTTTTGGGCGTTGAGGGGGGTGGGTGAAAGTGGTTGTTTGCGTTGCCAATAAACAGTTTAGATGGGTCATTTGATGCATGATTACACACCTGCTGATGGACAGCTGTCTGACGCTCATGCGTGCATGAAAACCAGATTACTCTTTTTTTTGCATGAAGTTCTTACTGATTTCAAATACCCTGATTTGAAGATATTCTGAGAATTCAACACTTCTCTCTGGAGAAAAGCAGTCTTTGTGCTGGCTTTGTAAAGGTAAAAAAATACAAATAAAACACTGTAAGAGACGCCTTATATTAAGGATTTATTGGGCTATGTCTCTACTAGCAGGAAGTAATGAATGCACCTTTGGAAATTGTCCCCTTTAACAGTGATTGGTAGTGTGAGCTCGTTTAGGGCTTCATATTGAAGACAGTGCAGCGTTTCAATGTTTTCTGAGCTGTTTTCCTCATTCTGCACGCACGTTACTGTGCGCGTGCGCGCTCAGATCTCCGTGGCAGTAATTTCCTCAAAGTGGATGTCATTGCTGCCGCTGCGGACCTCGTAGTCCATGTCCCTGTTCTCCAGCTCCAGGCTCAGCTCCCTCATCACTCGCTCCAGATCGCGGTTGCGTCGATACATCTGGATGTAGTTCTGCTGCAGCTGCTTTTGGTAGCGGATCACCTGGGTCGACAGAACAACAGCACGTGGGCGAACAGGTCATGTTTATACACTGTAATTGAAAAAATAAAAGCAAAAACGAAGAATCCAAAATGGTTACCTTTTCCTTTTCATCGTGCCACACCTTCCTCTCCTCCTCAAACCGTGACAGCTGCTCCTCATTACTCCGTCTCTCATACATGAGCTCAGCTCTCATTCTTTCCACCTGAAGAACAAAACGATAAACGTTTGCAATTAGGTTGATTCAAAATGGCTGCCACAGCCTTTGAAAACACAAAAAATGGCTGTAATAAGTTGGTGTAGAGGTAGCTGAGAGTCATCCCTGTCACATACTCTGATCACTAGCAGATTGCACAAAATCACTGTTTAAATGCAAAGTGCAAACGATGTGCCTTTTTCAATGGATGCTGGTTCTTAGGGGCGGCTGTGGCTGAGTGGTTAGAGCAGTCGTCTTCCAAAGGGAGAGTTGGGGGTTTGATTCCACCAGCTATCACATGATGAAGTGTCCCTGGACAAGACACTGAACGCCTCATTGCCTCTGATGTGTAAATGGTAAATGAACTATACTTACAGTATATAGCACCTTTCTAGCTGATCAAGACACTCAAAGCTCTTTACATTACAATCTGTGCCTCATTTACCCATTCATACAGCACTCTGCTAGATCTATACAAAGA